ACCCAGTTTGGACTCCGGCGGGGACCCCTGATCCAACAAGAGCTACCAACCAACCAACCAACGCTGTGAACCGGCCTGTTTCACTGGTTGGATACTTTTGTGGCCAACGAAATCTTGACGACCCAGGAGTCTAACCAACACCAACAGCAGCAGAATCGTTGCCGCGTTGCGAACTTTTCTTCGGCAGTCACACATGAGTGTAATTGGGTACTTGGGATCCTACTGTAGGGAGGCTGGTGATCAACACCCAGTGCCTCCGTTAGCATTCGCTCTTCCGTCTTTTCCATCGACACTATGACCGATAGGTCGGCCGCAATTTCTGACGAGGTTCACCATGTGCCTCACAGCACGGTAGTCTCGGGAACGATTACTTGCCTGTGAATGCAACAAGACTTGGGCAGCGTCTAACGCACTCTCTCCCCTCTCCGATCCACTTGTGTTCGCTGCCAAGACGGAATCGAGAATGCCGGAGGCGGGATCATGCGCAGGTAACTAGTGCGTTAATTACCAAACCGCGCAACCTACGAGTCCTCACTTAACTACATTACTTATTTGAAATGGCTACTTTATTTTCATTTTGTACGGAACTTGAGGCTTTTTCTTACTGTCCTTACAGATGCTGACCACCGATTCCGGCGAGGAAAGCTGTTTTGAGATGAACAAGGCTCAACACTGTCATCCAGAGGTGTGCTCAACCACCCTTGCAGCTGCCCCCAGCTGGACGGATGAAGCTACCGAAGCAAGCTTACGGGTGCTCAACGAGATTCGGCAGATTGTCGAGGGTGAGGAGATTGCTGATCCTACGGTCTGCTCTGCTGACGAGAGTGATGAACGTAAAAGAGGTGGTTACTTTATTATTCTCCAACCACATACATGTGTATGATATTACTGCTATTCCGTGTCGTATATAAGAGGCCGATTTTGGCTTTCTTGCGGTACCCTTGAGGTTTGTTTCCCGTGAAGTGCCCAACTAATCGTACTGTGCAACTGTGGTAATCCCAACACATTTTGTCTAGTAATCTCGGGCGGGAGGAGAGGAGATACGGTCCCCGGCGTCTACTGATTTGTGGGCTGACATTTCCCAGTTATCTTCAAGCAAGTACCATTCTCTGTTACTGCTGCTTTATGGTTTGTTGTAACGGTGATAAACTGTGTGGTGTTGCCGTCTAGTTACGCCCGATGGAATTCCCAAAGAAGAACACAATAAGAAGGGTCATAAGTTTGGAATCCACCCGGAGGAGGGTTTATTGTGTACAAAACCCGGGGTTGCTTTCTCGGGTGGCCGTAGCGCACTAAATTTTCCCGCTTCGGAGCTAGCCGCAGCATTGGGAGCGGACTGACGGTGTCCTCGCAGTCCGTGTTGCAAATCACTGTCTGAGAGGTGACAATGGCTTATAAGTGACTGTCAAACACGTTCGCTTGTGGCCTCATTGGGCGCGTTCTCGGAATAAGGTCACTGGCCGTGGCGCGCCTAAGTGGGCCCTTGAGAGACTGCGATCAGTTGGGGCACACGCCTTGACGCGCGTGCGTGTCTCCGGTCCAGCCTTTAAGATTGTCGCTTGAAGGCGCTCAGAGCGAAGACACATAGACATGGTGGTAGGCACGACGCCTCAGGAGAGCCCACAGTGTTGCCAGCATTTGGTCAGGCTAAACGCTTAACATGGTTTACCACCTGTGCCCTGGTTTTTCTAACTCGTGTCTGCTAGAGTTTTTACAAATCTCCAACATTTTGTGCGCGGGCACGCCCTACGAGCAAGCACCTAAGGGTGTTTGCGAAACTTATCCAATTGTACGCGTCAAGTTATCTGGCAGAAGACGCCGGATATAGCACTTCTATAGATTCTCCTTACCCTTTCAGCCACCCATGGTCCGACCAGGTAAACGTGTCCACTTTTACACTATAGACCTTGAACTAACCTAGTTTATAAAATCCGCGCGGGATTGCAGAGAGTGCCACTGTAAGGCCTAATTAGGCTTAAATGTACACTGGAGAATCCTCTTTGCGGACAAGGGGTGCCAGAGCTTCTGAATTTCCAGTCGTGTTGGGCT